GATGAAAGAAAAGAATCGTGGAGTCCGCCGGACGTAACATTCACATAACATATATTATAGATTTCCAGGCGATCTATGCGCTCAATGCGTGAAACGGAACGCACCCTATGTTTGGCGTCACTGGTAGCGCTACGCTACCTCCCTTGTACGAACCTACAAGTCTTCTCTGAACTGTCGAGCGATTCAGATCGTGAACTCTCACCATATTTTTTATCTGAATAAACCATTAAGTCTAGTGCCTATCCGAAAAGCGTTCGTATTTTTCTCGTCCCGGCTTCCCTCAACAGAATGTTTCATGTGTCAGGCAATAATTAACGCAAGTATGTATCTAGATAAACTAGTCTCGATGATATATTTTTAGTCTTAATAAGATGAAAAATTTTATTAGGGTACATAAAGACATTTGTCCTAAATCTACTCGGAACAACGTAGTCTATAAATTGAATTGTTTAAATTGCACCGCATCTTATGTCGGACAAACAAGAAGACAATTACATAAGACAACTATTACAGAATTTCCGAACATCGAAATCATACAAAAAGAAACACTGCGAGTCATTCTATTATTACTGATCACAGACTGGAATCCAATCATAATTTTAACTGGGATGGGATGGAAATTTTGGACAACGAAATGTTTCTAAATAAACGATTAATATCTGAAATGCTATATATAAAAAGACAAAAAATAGTTTAAATTTGCCGGAGACCTATTTCTCAGCAATAGATGAACTTTCAAAGATCTACATTTCGTACCTAACATATTTTTTATTTAATTATATCATTTATATATGCGTTTATATTAATGTACGGTGTTTTGTTTTTTATAATGTGCGTTAGTATATTTTCATGCGAATACATATTTCGTTGTCTGCTTTTGTGTATATATATATGATATATATATATATATATATATACGTGTCTTTATTGGATACGTTTGTATATATACATATTTACATATGTGTATGCTTCGGGACATTGCTTCCCGTTTTAATTTTGTATATACACGTTATTGTTTTCCGATGTCATGGAGACTAATTTATCTACATACATAAGTATGTATTTAGTTATTAGCATCACGTTAATTCATTCATTTCATTCATTCATTGACTTTATTGGTTCCCCTATGGGGTTACAATTTACACATATTACATTTTCCATTTTCACTTTACAGCTTCTTACAGTTTTACCTTTACTCCTTTTTCCCCTCTATCCCCTTCTCCGGAAAGGAGAAAGGGAAGGAGAAAGTATCTCCTTCTCTTCCACCACACCTTCCTCTCTTCATCCCACTTCCATTCATTTCCGTCTATCCATAATCGCACTATTATTCACCACTGCGGACCTTCCCTTTCTCCTTTCCTCCCTTGCCTTTTCCATTACCCTCCATCTTAATTTCCTTTCCTCCATAGTTAGGTCCTCGTCCACCGCTACACTCCAGTTCTTCCTTATCTCAAACTCCCTCTCCAACAGTTTTTTCCGGTCTTCTTCCTCCTCTATCTCCACAATGAGTACTTTTCTTCCTCCTTCCCCTACTTTTTCCGCCACTCATCCCAACTTTGTCCTTCTTCCCAAAATTTCCTCCATTATACCCTTAAGGGGATCCAAAAGTGACGGCCGAACTCCGACGGGTTAGCGCCCTCATCTAAGCGTAACTAAAATTATCGATAATACCGAACGAAATTATCGATAATATCAATAATTTTAGTTCCGCTGTTACCGATATTAATATTTCTGCATGTTTTATGCATATTTGAAAGAGAATTGTGTTCAATATGTTGAAATCGGACAACATCGTGTATTTCTACTGCTCTATAGCCTCGCACGCATATCTAAGCGTATTTAAGCGTATAGATAACAGTATAATATAGACGTGTCTGCCTTTATCACATATTTGAACATAATTTCACATTGTTCATACGGGCTATGTGTCTTCCCATATATCTTCCAAGAGGAATAACATTTGGTTAGGTGTTATATATATAATTGTGTATATATATATGTATATGTATAATATGTACATAGACGTATACAGATGTATGTGTATGATATATATACATATATTCTGAATATTATCATGTAACTTTCTATAAGTTGCGATCTATGCAA